TGCACGAGCGCCATTGAGGGCGCGACTGGGCCATGTCTGATAATGTCTCTAGCCATTGATGTGGCCCGTCTCGGGGTCCCCATCCAGGAAGACGGCAGTGACCAGCGCAGCTGAGTTTGCTGGTAATGGCCTTCATACTTCGCTGCCAAGTCATTGTTTGACCGCCTCTGGCTCTCTTCCACCCTTCACATGGTTGGGCGAAAAGAGCCCTTCGAGGAAGTCGGGCGATTGGCATACGCAGCACGTGGCCAAGCCAACGCAACCTGTGCAGTGTGATCAATTCATCTATCGAGGGTGAGTTATTTCTCCCGAATACCGTTCGATATGTTCTTCAAAGGAATTAACCTCCCGCTGAAAATCTCACTGATTAGAAAGCACAAAAACTCTAGGCACAACCTAGAATTTGCAGCTGAAAATAGGACAAAATATCTGTGAACCAAATTGGTGATTCAAACGAATGTTGAATTAGCTCACCTTATCACACCTCGTTCCGTAATAATTAGGTTTGCACACACACCGAATTGCGTGCACTTCACTTCCGTAAGTCCGAACACCACCTGAATCAGCATTCGCGGTGACTGCCCCACGATACAATGTTCCACGGGGATCACAGTCGCCACTGAGGGCACCATACTTGAAATTGCATGATTTCGATTGTTCGAACCATGTGGCATTTGGTAAACATTGGCAATAGTAGTATTCTCGGTTGGGTAACTGGGCTAGACAAAAATAAAACCCGAAGTCTCATGGCAGGCTTGATGGGAATGGATGGAACCTTAGTTTGCATCTATTTGCAGATAAGTGTATTTCATTGATGATCAGACTGTCTTTAGCAGATGTGAACGATGGGACTCAGTGTACAGCGGATTTGGTGGAAAAAGAACTGTTTCAGTGCTAATATATTACGAAACTTGGTGAAATATATGGAATTGTGAGTACACGAAATCTGATCAGGTGAATCCTCACAAGTAAGTCTTCGTTTCAGGAACCTGCGACGCGGCGAAAAGGACTGCTGGAATGAAGTTACTCATCAGTCCTCAATTTGGTACTGATGCTTCGCGTTAGATTCTCATTTCTCCCACAGATGAGTCTATTCTAAATTCTTTCGTTGGTAAAAAAAACTTGATGTGAAGGAGTAAATTCCTCGAAAGTGAGCATTTAAGTAGGTATCTATCTGAGTAGTCACCTAAAACATTCTTCCAGGTCGATCACAGATCATTGACCACCATTTTAGGTGAGTCGGCTTAACCCTGATTCCATATCTACGAAGGCGAGTGTCTGGAAGCAGGTCAACAGTTTGGGCTGATGAAATCGTCGCGGCCCAACGAAAGGACGATAGCCATGTTTCTTACTGTTTTTCAAGTTATATTTGGCTGTAAACAGTGTCGGCGGTATCAGAGAAGCAACTGATGGCAAATCCTCACAAAGTTGATGATATGGCTCTTGTTGGTTGTTGTCCTGATGCTTTAACCGGTAAGTAGTACATCTTCGGCTGCTTCCGTGGTTGGAAATTTCCATTTTAAGAAGCTTAATCTTAGAAAGCTCTTTCATGTCGTATTTTGGGATTTTAGAATTCTCCTGGATGTCTGTAATAACAGAAAATCATTACCATACACTATTTCTCAAGGACGTTCGGTAGACATTACCTATTTATCAGAAGTCAGGATGCCCGTGTATACCTCTGGATCTGATACATCCTTTTAGTTCTGGTAAATAAAATGTAACATTTGCACCCAGTAATCCATATCAAATGTGATTTTGTCAGTAAACCCGAATGGTTTTGGAACTGCACTGATGACGTTGAAGAGATCACTAGTCAGTAGGACAGTGATAATCCTACGCGCACAACCATTTGGTTCCGAGTTTTACGATAAACCTTTGAGTAATGCCCACACCGAATCTCAAAATGAGGCGGTGAGTACGGTCCTGACTCTCATAGATTTCTCTAATTTCAAGGGACAACACAAAACGGAGGTTAAACCTCAGATTCTCGGATGACAGTTACTGACAGGTACTGACTCTATCCCTGTAACAGCTGACTAGCAAGTTACCGTCTGCTACGGAAAACCAGCACTTCATAGTGACTGTTTCTTTAAGCTGGTCCGTAAAAAGATCATTTTGGTAATTTTTGGGTCTATGGTGGGATTTTTTGAGAACCTAAGTGACTTGATTTTCACCTAATACACTCATTGTGCAAGCACGCGAATTCTCAAGGACGGTTTTTGATGACGTTTAATGATTTTGATGATTTTCTCTTAAACGTCGTAACAGTGCACACTAAGTTGTCACTTCGAATACTGCTTAAGGCACATTAATTTCGGACGCTTTCATATTAAACTTGTGATTACGATGACTGCCGGTCATTGCGCAGACTTCCTTGGTTTCCCTAGGCCTCGATGGTTATCCGGTCACCTCAGAATCATCTGTTCATTAGTGACAGTCTAACATGCGGGTTTCTTGGTGCGTGTTGATTGATTAGTTGAAGGCAGTTACGTCTGTGATGCTACCTGACTGGGAAGTCCTGATCAATCGATACAAACAGGAGTGTTACTTAGTCATCGTTCGAGCCAATCACATTGCTCAAGCGTGAACATAATCGTTTGTTTAAATGTGCTAATTCAGTTCCGTCCAGTGTGCTTCATTGGAATAGTGGTAACACACTGGCTCCGCATGTCGTATGTCCGGAGTTCACTCTCTGGTACAGTCAAAGAACTGCACTGCTGAGTCAACTCATGTCCAGTGTTTACCCCCTTTGGTGTGGATTCACCAGAATAATAGCGCGAAGTCAGAAAAAGAACTGTCCAAACATAAGCGACATGAAGATGTACTACTTATTAGTCAAATTATCGAAGCAAATCAGTAGTTGGTTAGAACCAGATACGGTTGGAGAAAGGGATTGTCTTTGGCGCAAAGCCGAGTCTAAAACTTCAAGATATTTGGCAGTTGGAAAATTTGACGACTGATTTGTCCGTCTCTGTAGACATCACCTCGAGTTAGCGCTCAAAAAACCTATTTTGCGATGTGGTCTCTCCTGATATGCAATTAACGGAATATAATCAAATGAAACATCACAAACCGAAAAAATACTGCGAAATAAAGGAAGCAATGGCATAGAGACTTGCGGATACTTTATACGGTTAGTTTGATTTTCTAGTGGTTTGTGCTAAATTCAAGACGAGAGTTCCGAAAGTTCTGGGCTGTTTTTAGATACGAATGGTTAAAGTTACTGTAGCTAGATTCAATGGACAAAAACAATTCCCCTGAAACGAGCATATTGGTTATTCGACCCTGTTAACCATGCTGAGCAGCTGTAGAACACACTTGTTGTGGGTGATTTTTACAGCAGAATCCTGTACTTGGCAAGGCCTGGAAAGTTTAATCTGATCAAATTTAATGATCAAGTTTTTCAAATTAACCTGTCTAAAAAATTCAGTGTAATCAACGACTGAGCTTTTCCCTAGTTTACCTCTTTACTTCATATGTGAGCCTATCCCATGACAGAATAGTGCAGGATTTTCCTTTTTCAAAATTTTTTTGCCAGAATTGAGAGACGTCTTGCTGGATGACTCCAATGTCTCCGATAGGCGGAGTGCAGGATATTTTTGGTCTTTTTCGCGAGGAATTTCAAACATATTTTCAGAAGTAGTTTGTGGTTCAAGGTAAGAGATAGTCCCTTTGAGGTGTTAAAATTCAGCGGAAAAGCCTGGGTAACAAAGGAAAGCCGTCGCGTTTGAGGAGTGATCTCTATTCAGTTTTTTTAAAAATAGCGACAGCTGTTGCACTTACGTTAAGCTTAAAAGCTGAAGGTAAACATCCACTGTGGTCAAAGTCGACCTCCTTAGCTGATTAAAGACTGTAATTCTTTCAGCCATTCTAGTGTTAACAAAGTAATTCAACTCCACTGGGACAGTGCATTGAATATTTTGTCCATCGATATCCAACTTACAGTGAATTGATGGTTGACACTGACGAGATATGTACGGTGAATGGCTTGATGGGAAGCCGCAAGGCTTATAGCGTGATAATGACTCCGAAGTTCCGACACCACTGAGTGGTCTGTCGGGCGCTCCACATGCATTCGGACAAAGTTGGTGGTAATCTGGGTGTACAGTAAACCTAGCGTTTCGGAAATCATACTCGTTTTTGAAGTAGTGTCGTTTTAGGCAGAACAGACTGACAAATTGCATGCGCGATTCAGACACAGTGGGGGAGTAAGGAATAGTCGTTGATGGGGTTTCCACGGAAGATACTGCCATCCCAAACAAACGTTTTGTCGTTTTGTAGTGCTGATGCAATAGCCGTATAATCTGTTTTTCGTCCAACGCAGGGTCTGTTAAACAAATATCATCTGACTCCTTCTGGAAGAAATAGAGGTGGTTTAGGCGACCCTGTGTTTCGTTTTTTGGTTCAATCACAGGTAGCGCTTCCGTTCCAAATCGACTATTCTTGAAGCCAACAAGGGCGTCGGTTCTTTCGGGGCCAGGAAGATTGTGCAACAGTGGGAAAAACAAATAAGGGTCGTTGCCTGATGCTTCCGTGTTTGAAGTTGCATTCTCCGCACTTTGTGCAGTCAACATGGCTGCATTAAGCATGCAAATAGCCAAGTGTATGAACTGAAAAAGATAGCAGTAGACTCCAGAAAGGTTACAAAAAACGGTTTATCCCAAAAACATAACGTGATGTCATCGGAGGAGTGAACAATCAAGGTTTAACAAATTTTGGTTGGAAAAAAGCTCTTTGTATCATTTGATTGAAATCAATACCGGCTTCATTAAAGCACAGCATCTGGTGTGAGCTGTTCTTGTGACTACAATTCCGAGGCAGGAGAAGTAACAAGTTCAACCTAGTAAACACATACTGCATATGAAAACGCAACTGAGATTACAAATTCACACTTATTGTTTTCCTTTTTTGTGCGTCCCTTTTCCATTTTATTGGTTGCCTTCTGTGGTAGCTTCTGGGCCTCTTCATGATAAAGTATTCAGTAACTCCTAAAGCTATGTAAACATTTATTCCCATTGCTTCCTTTCTAGCTCGAAGGAGTTGGAACAACTGACTTATCGCCAAATTTTCAAACCACAGACTTCAGCAACACTAAAGTCATTGGCAGATTCGCAAAGAACCTGCTACCCTGAGCAAATAAGCTATCTCAAGCTCAAGTCCACTACCGCTGTCCGCTGGAAACTAGTTTAATCACAACATGGGACTCCCTATATGAACTCATGGATTGCCTTCTTGTGGAGGCACTACCTGAAGAAGACAACGGAACCTCTTCTCTCCTACTAGGCTATCTCTCTGGAGAAAAATGGCGGTATTTGGAACAGACCGACATGTTCATTCCGTGATCATTTTTTTCACCCAAAGCAAACATGATTTAGAAACTCGGCGATTGCACCTACTTGATGAGCCCCAAGGAGGGCGAAACCGCTTGACGGCTGTCGACGAATTTTCAGCCACCTTATGAGTAGTGCAATACGAGTGTGAGATAAAAAACTTTCAAGCGCTTACATGTATCGAATCATTTCTCCGTGTTCACTGTGCGCTCAGGGTCTTTTGTTATCTCACGGCTCTGCACGGTTTGTGCACAAAGGATTACTACTGGATGCCAAGCAGTATTCTTCACTCATATGAATGTTGGGTTTTCGGGAGGACCTCTTTACATCAATAATGCCTAGAAATATTAGCAGATCGACCAAACTAGATGTAATTACTCCGAACCAGAGAATAAGAGCCACTGACAAATCTTTTCGGGTGAATTCAGCCCCTTTTGTCCTGCACAGAATAGGAGACGCCAACGTGAAAACAGCGGAGCTATCAGTGGAAGAACCATCTAGCCACCTTTGTCTCATTAAATTTCCAACCAGGCTGATTGTGTTGGCCCGCAGGGAAACTTGTATTTACTAGGTTACAGAAAACAGTAGCCGTTTGGCTAAGTCTCCTCTCCGATGATAGTAGACGGTGAAACAAGGACCGTGGTTCCTTTGTTTTGACTACTCAACTATGTCAGCATCGTGCCATCTAGAACTTGCACGAAATTGTAAAAGGTGTCAAAGTCCTCATCACCGGTTTCCTCCAGATACCCATCTCTTTAATCGATTTCACTTCTGGCCGTTAATCAATTAACGTCCACCTCATTCTCTTCGGAAACTATGAACAAATACAGGTGGGAAAAAGTACCAACCTGATGGGGGCTGCTGGTTCCCCTTTGATTGGTGCGGAAAGGTGTGCAAGTTAATGGACCAGACTTAGTGAACAAATCAATAGGCACCTAATAAACAAACAATAGAGGCGCCCGAGCTACCAGTGAATGGAAGAAGGCCTTTGCTTTGGTTTTCGGACCATTCCGGGCTGAGCATTGGTCCTGGTCGTTCAGCACAGTCTTCACATTCGGGATTAGCATATACCCTGGGAATGATGTGTGTGGCGCCTTGGCTTCTTTGAAAAAGGCGAGTCTAGCAGAAGTTCCACGTGGATGGTGGTTGTTGATGCATGTACGGGAAGTATCTTGTATATTTTGTTTACATATTTTTAGTCGGCTACTCAAAACCTATGCATTTTTGGGATGCTGGATTATTTGCCCGTCGTGTACGTAACAGTACACAGTACATTATGGCCTGGTTGTCATCAATTTTCGCTCCGATCTATCCGTTTACCTGATGGATAGCTGTTCTACCAATTCATGGAAATAGCTGCTGAACTACGATGCTCCAAGAAAGCTTTCTGCGAAAAGAAATTGTGAATTTCATCGGCGAAAAAATGTTGCATCAAAGGAAAGGCAAAGCTCTATTCATTCTGTAAAGAGTGGTGGCAAGGCAGCATCAATGAAAATACGAACTTTTCAATGTTTTCCTACGGTACAGTCTTCTGGAAGTAAAAACACATAGAATTGTTAAAATATATAACAATAACTTACTACGTGAAGAACCATCCTCACTGGGATTATTTTTTGAAGCAACTAAATCAATAAGCACGTGCATTCTTAGGGTACCTTGAACGAAGTAAATCAATAACAGATGTATCGTCTAACAAGCAAAAGCCTAGGAAGCCTTATACTTTGTCAGTCTTCACCACCAAAAAAGCGTTCCAAGTTTTGAAGGCAACGAGTGGAGATAAGAACTATTATTACTAGCAAGTTTCTCAGCATTTCTGAAAAGTTGGAAATCGTTTCACACTGTACTTCAGACAGGACTTGCTTATCCTTGCGTTGCGGGGACCTGGTACCACAAAGCCTACGTATAGACACCAGGTATAGGATTTTGAAAAATTATCGGTCTATAAGGAGTAGAATTTCATGGAAATTCAACCGGTTACTTGCCCAAAAAATTAAAATTAATGAGGAACGATGTAACTTATCTTTTTTTAACCAGAAATGAGGAAACAAACTGTGAGGCTGGACAAGGATGGCCTAAATAGAGACGTGGTCGCTGTGACGGTAAGGACGTAATTTTTTATTAGGAGAGTGTGGTCGTAGGTTTGTTCACTGGGCAATTTGTTCGCAAACGTTTCACCACCAATCGAGGTGGCATCATCAGTGAGTTATTGGGGAGCGCAGTTGTGCGTAGCGGTGGTTTGGAAATTGTGCGTTCAGTAGTGTTACGTATGTTAATATACGTGCTTGTAGCCGGGGTAACCTTTGAGCGCGATTAGTTGTTCGGTCGGGCGGTTCCATTGGTTGCTCTGTTATCCCGTGTCCTCATTCGCTGCTGCCCACGTGACCTTTGAGCTTGGCATCCCTCGCCGTCGTAGCCTGGTCGAGTTGCGGCTTGTGACCTTTATTGATTCCTTGTTCCTTTGTTTGTGAATCCGAAATTCGGTCCTCCTTGAGTGTTCCGGTTGAGATGTTGGTCTTTTGCGTAAACTGGATCAAGTTCGATGAACGTGGGTATCGGAGAATTAGGACACGGAATAACAGAACAACCAATAGAACCGCCCGACCGAACAACGAATCGCGGTCAGAGGTCACCCCGGCTACCAGCACGTATAGTAACACACGTAACGCTACTCAACGCACAACCACTAACCCACCGCTACGCACAACTGCGCTCCCCAATAGCGCACTGATGATGTCACCTCGATTGGTAATGAAACGTTTGCAATCAAATTGCCCAGCTCAGTGAACAAGCCAACGACCATCTACGCTACCTGGGCTACCGACATTTTCCTCTATAGGAGGGTGTGGATTAGGTGAAGGGGGTACTACAGAAAGCCGGTAGCCCATTACTGGAATTAACCACAAAGTCTTTTTTGATGTAATAAATCACTTTCTTTCCACTGCCGAATGTTTGAGGGGGAAACTTTAACTCCCTTCTTCCTCATTGACTTGTTGTTCCTCTATTCATCACTACATTCGTCGAAGATCTTAAAGTAATTCATTTATCGTCAAATTTGAGCAAGTGACTTAAAGTAACACGGAATTTTGGAAAATCAGAGATCAAATCAGCAAGAACTTAAAAACCTAGTCACCACTTTATCACATTGTACAAAACCTCCCGGACAAAGAGAGAACCCGGAATTCCGATGGAGTAAATGCATCTACGAATAAGTAGGCAGGCTAATTGTGACTGGGTAATTAGGTAATAGGTGGGCAGGCGTATGGCGCAATGACTTATTTTAGAATCATCTGGATAACAAGTACTGTCTGACGAGAGATGCCCTTTACGGACATCTTGCTTTCGGTGACTTCCCTTGGTTATTTATCGGGCGGTCTTTGATCTGTCCGTCACGTACCACACCAAGAATATGGGGCAATTTTGGATACTCCAAATTCAGTATGTATCGTAGCAACTACATTGCGAAAACCTCGGAAGGCTGTTTCTCGCTGTGTACTGCTTGCATAGTCAGAACCATTGTACCACTAAAATTTATTTTGAAATTCGCAGACTTTTCGTGTACAGTGAATGGCGGAATAAGGATTCGCGGCCTCTTGTCGTAGATCGAGTCTTCTTTCCACCCAGAAACGGATACCACTGTCGCATCAAACACAAAGCGGAAGATATCTGTAATAATTGGACCTTGCTTGGTTATAGGGCATAAGTGTGAACCAACTTACATTAGCCTGTAAAATGATACCACTTGTCAAAGACATCACCATTACTATTCAGCATCCGTCACCGAACCAAAAATGCGTCCATTAGAATGTTGGGCGTAGGGCACATTCTGAGTCACTTCACAGAATTCGTCCAGCGAACGATCAAATTGAACTCTTCTGTCTGGCCCTCTTAATAGATTGTTGGATATGATCGGGAATACCAAGCTGGCCAACTAATCCTTGGTTGCATCCTTCACGTCTTAACATATGTGACCACGACTGAAGATAGGAGGATCTCTTGGGAATCATCAGCAGTGCGCATCTCACGAAACTCCGAAGAGTCTCGAACCCGCGTCCTCCCGGCTAGTAGTTTGAACACTTAACCGTTCGGCCACGAGTGGCTGATCAGCAGTGTGATTAACTCGCACTCAGACAGGATATAGCGCCGCTCATCCTTCAATCACAGGATCCACATCACGCGGTCACACGTGTTGACTGGCTCCTCGAGCAACGACTTCTCAGATAGAAGTTTCACTCATCGGGTGAAGTTTATTCTTCCACTGAGCTACTTATATAT